ACTCGGCCTGGAGGACAGACGCAAGTAATCGCACGCGCTCAGTCGATCTCTCTCTCATTCACTGTCTGTTTAGGCTTGTTAAGTGCAAATCTACAGAGCCTCTGTACAAATCAGCATGGTTGGTAAAAATTATGTTATCATTACTAACTTATTTAATATTCAGTACATGTGCACGAAGTGTAAAACAAGAAGGGCGTAACCTTACGAAAAAAGAAAACATGCAAATATCGCGGTTGCTGCGGTTCTTGCATTCCTCTGCAGTTGGCTCGTCAGTAGTGCTCGTCAGTATTGCGATATTGCGGTTATCGCGACAGCCCTAGTAGGTTTTATTTGTTCGCACATGTGAATAAGAAGCATCATAGTGAAATTTAAATGTACAAGGTGACCTCCATGTTTTTCTCTCTCAGGCCATCACCATTGAGGCAGAACCTCGTGTTGACGGCAGCAGGCGAACAACGCGCTATGACATAGACATGACCAAATGCATCTACTGTGGCTTTTGCCAGGAGGCCTGCCCTGTGGATGCTATTGTAGAGGTGAGCACCTAGCAGCACATGTTTCAACTACGCATCGTGTCCCTTAACAGGCTATTTAATGTGTCATCAGACAACGTGTCTAAAGTAGGGGCGTTCAAACTGTTTTCTAGTGAGCCTGTGGAAATTTTGTGAGAAGAAGTTTACAAAATGTATTTTTACAGCTGTCAAAATTAATACAGCACAGAACAATATAAAAAAAGTATAGTGAGAGAAAACAAATAGAATATACACTACAATTCAAAAGTTTAGGAGTGGTAAGAAGTCACTTATCCTTACCTAAACAGCATTTATTTATTTATTTTTTAAATACAATAAAACAGTAATATTATGAAAGATTAATACAATTTAAAGGGGACATAACACACACAGTTTCTGCCAGTCTCATATTAATCTTGAGTACTTATAGAGTAGTCTTGCATACTTCATATCTCCGAAGACTCTCGTTTTATCAGATTTATAAAAGACAGATGCAGCTGTACCGCTCTTTCCGAAAACAGTCGAGCTCCTGGAGGCATGCCGTGGGTGGAGCTTAAGCACGTTGATGGGCTGCTCTTGCTCTCGCTCTGGGCTGTGTTTCCCAAAAGCATCGTAAGCTTAAGTACATCGTACACCCATTGAAACCAGTGGAGCTACGATCAACTTAAGCTTACGATGCTTTTGGGAAACGCAGCCCTGGTTGATGTGTGCACGCCGTCATCCGGGAGAAGACGTGCCCATACAAGGAATTCATGTATTTGGCACAGAAATACTCCGTCATATGTCCAACTAGTTTATTGAAACTTTGGCCATGTTTAGCATGAGGATCCAACTCTTTAACAGTGTAAATGAGTCAGAATGCATGAAATAGCATTAGACCTCCCCTTTAAAATAACTGTTTTCTGTTTGAATATATTTCATAATGTAGTTTATTCCTGTTATGGCAAAGCTACATTTTCAGCAGCCATTACTCCAGCCTTCAGTGTCACATGATCCTTCAAGAATTTATTCCAATATGCTGATTTGCTACTCAAGTATCATTTCTTATTGTTATTAATAAGATTATTGTTATTAATGTTATCTTATTGTTATTCAAATAAAACAGTTGCTTAATACTGCCTAATATTTTTGAAACCATGATACATTTTTTCAGGATTGTTTGCTGAATAGAAAGTTGAAAACAACAGCATTTATTTGAAATAAAAATCTTTTGCAACATAAATGTCTTTAAATGTTACATGTGCCAATTTTGTACAAAATAAGCAGGCAATTAAATAGGTTGATTTAAATCTACATGGGGATGAAGGATAAATACATTCTATATGACCAGATTTACTAGAGTTAATGTCTACCTTTACCTGTCTGTCTTTTTCTTAGGGTCCCAACTTTGAGTTCTCCACAGAGACTCATGAGGAATTGCTTTATAATAAGGAGAAACTCCTCAACAATGGAGACAAGTGGGAGGCGGAGATTGCTGCCAACATCCAAGCTGACTATCTGTACAGATAAACAAATGTCATGGACTGTCTCATCTCAACGCAATATGCTCTTCATATTGCTCTCTTACCAGTAATAACAGTTTCAATTGCATATGGAAGATTTGGTTTTAGACAGTTACTGTTGTGCTAAGTGCACATTTTCAAAGCCCAGGGACTGGCTTTTTTTGAAGATGCACATACTTTTTGATTTCTTTCAATGTGAGCACACATATAGATGCTCAGTTTTGAAATTAAGTTCACACTTTCTTATCCGTAAACTACAGCAGCCTTAAAGTGGTGCCTCACATTGAAACATTTCTCTGTGCTAAAGCTGTCATTTTGACTTTGGAATTTCAACACAGTATCACTGTCACACAGCAACTGTTGAGATATGTTGTGTAATATTAAACAGTCTAATGGTAGGATAACCAAGTTGTTCCTGAAAATCACCAAGGATGACGCACTAATTTGAAGCCAATGTTACATTCTCATTTTGAGGCATTTGATTCCATCCTTCCCATTTTCATCCTTCTTTTCTTATTTTGACCATCAGTGGATTTAAATGAAAAAAAAAA